ATCCTACTAAACAAAATGCGAGCTTCATTTTTGTAGTTAACCACGTTTTTCTAGCTATTCTAGTTTTCGAGATATGCGCCTTTAAGGATGACGCCCCTCCGGCAGGGAGAGAATTGGTCTGCTAATTATTTAGCAGGCCAACGCTCTCGTCGCCTGCGTCTCTCGTGGGTCTGCTAAATATTTAGCTTACTAACGCTATCTGCTTTTTTGCCTGCTAACTTGAAAGGCGCATATCTCTAAAACTAAGATAGCTAGAAAAAAGTTGTCAACTACAAAAATGTAGTTCTATTTTTGTTTGGTATTTTCTCAAATTTTCAAACAAATCCTAAAACTTGGAACCTATTTTTTAGGCGTCAAAGTTTTTCTGACCACTCTCAAAGTCCAAAACGCATACTTTGCACTCTCCCGATCATTTGATCTGCCCTCTGCCGATCACCTACACTATCAGTTTATCATTTATCTCTTGTTTACCTCTTTTCTCTCATCAATCTTGCCATTCTTCACGTAGTGAGAAGAGAGATCTATGTGATGGGAAAGAAACAACAAAAAAAAATGTTTCTGATATTTTTGGGTTGATTTTTTTTCTGCAGGGGGCCAAGAAATCAACGTTGTTTGTCACTTTGGGCTATGATTTTTGAAGATAGGCTGCAGGAAAAATGATCTCTGCGGACCAAGGGGTCGAAAATCTTGACTCTAGCTTGAAATTGAAACTTTGGGACTTGATAAAATAGGTTCAAAGTTTAAAGGAATTGTCTGAAATTCTCAAATAATATAAAACAGAAATAGAGCTTCATTTTTCTAGTTGACAACTTTTTCCTAGCTTTTACGGTTTTTGAGATATGCGCCTTTAAAGTTAGGCGACTCCCACCGGCGGCGGCGGCGGCGTAGGGGAGAAGGGAGGCCAACTTTAAAGGCGCATATTTCCACAACTACTTGAGCTAACTGAAATGTGTCAACTAGAAAGTTGTGAAGCTTAAAATATTGCACATTTTTCTAGTTTTCAACTTTTTCATAGCTATCTTGGTTTTTGAGATATGCGCCTTTGAAGTTGTGGCGCCTGGAATTGGGGACTGCTAAAGCAAACAGGGGGCACATGCGACGAGAGCGTGGCCTGCTAATTGTGGACGCTTACTAGAAAAGCGCATATCTCAAAAACCAAGCTAGCTATAAAAAAGTTGTCAACTACAAAAATGAAGCTCGCATTTTGTTCACTAGATCTGATAATTTCAAACCGTCCCAATAATGTTTAGCTAGATTTTTCAAGCTTCAAACTTTGATATCCTCAAACTCTTGAATTTTCCAGCTATCTCTGCCGCACTGACCCACGCGACGTCGCTCGTGTCGAATCGAAGACATGGATGGTGACCAAGGACAAGTACGACTCGGTCTGCCACACTCCAGAAGGCGTCCGTCCAATTATGGGACAATGGATGAGCGAGGAGCAGTTCGGAGTCGAGCTTGACGCTCGTTTCCCAGGCTGCATGGCTGGACGTCCAATGTACGTTGTACCGTACTCCATGGGACCATTGGAGGACCACTTTCCAAAATTGGAATTGAGTTAACTGATTCGTCGTACGTCGTGCTTTGCATGCGTACCATGACTCGTATGGGTCAGAAGGTTATTGATGCGTTGGGAGATCAGGATTTCGTTAGATGCATTCATTCGGTGGGACTTCCACGTCCAGTTAAAGGTGAGAAGGTTACTGTAAAAGATAGTAAACCTGCGCATATTTTTAGCGAAGGTCATCAATCACTGGCCTTGCAACCCAGAGAAGGTGATGATTGCTCATCGTCCAAAGGAGCGTGAGATCTGGTCGTTTGGATCCGGATACGGTGGAAATTCGATTTTGGGAAAGAAGTGCTTCGCGCTTCGTATCGCTTGTAACATTGGAAGAGATGAGGGATGGCTGGCTGAGCACATGTTGGTGAGTTGGAAGTTTAATAATCCAGGAATCCAGGAATCTAAGATTATAGGAGCCTAGGAATCTAAGAATCTAAAAATCCAGGACTCCAGGAATCTCGGACCCTAGATCCTCTAGATCTTAGAACCTCTAGATTCCAGATAATAGATCCTAGATTTTCTAGATCCTAGATCCTAGATCCTCTAGATCCTAGATCCTAAATCCTAGATCCTCTAGATCCTAACCTAGACCTTCTAATCTCTGGAATCTTTCAGATCATGGGTGTCACCAATCCAGAAGGCCAAGAGAAATTCATCGCCGCCGCTTTCCCATCCGCCTGCGGAAAAACCAACCTTGCCATGCTCACCCCAACAATTCCCGGCTGGAAAGTCCGAGTTGTGGGAGACGACATCGCCTGGATGAAGTTCGGAGAAGACGGACGTCTCTACGCCATCAATCCAGAAGCCGGATTCTTCGGTGTCGCTCCAGGAACCTCTCATAAGACCAATGCAATGGCCATGGAATCCTTCCAAAAGAACTCCATCTTCACCAACGTCGCAGAAACCGCCGATGGTGAATATTTCTGGGAGGGTCTTGAGAAGGAGTTGAAGGAGAGAAAGGGATATTCTGAGGAGCAATTGAAGCAATTGGAAATTACCAATTGGCTCGGAGATCGTTGGCACATTGGAGACGAAGGAAAGGCTGCTCATCCAAACTCCAGATTCACTGCTCCAGCCGCTCAGTGCCCAACGATTCATCCAGATTGGGAAGCTCCACAAGGAGTCCCAATCGATGCTATTGTGTTCGGAGGACGTCGTCCAGAGGGTGTCCCATTGGTATTCGAATCCTTCTCTTGGGAGCATGGAATCCTTGTGGGAGCTTTGGTAAAATCTGAGACCACCGCTGCCGCAGAATTCACTGGAAAGAATGTGATGCATGATCCAATGGCAATGCGACCATTCATGGGATACAACTATGGAAAGTACTTGGAGCATTGGATTAAGCTCGGAAAGGCTCCAAACAAGGCTCCAAAGATCTTCCACGTCAACTGGTTCCGTGAGACCAAGGATCATAAGTTCTTGTGGCCTGGATTTGGAGATAACATCCGTGTATTGGATTGGATCCTTAGACGAGTGTCCGGAGATGAAGATATTGCGGTGCGTCTGGGACCCTAACTTGAGGGAGGGGTTGAAGTTAAAAAAAAAACTCACAATAAAAACAATAATATTACAAAAAAAACTTTTCAGCTCGAAACCGCCATCGGATACGTTCCAAAGCGCGGTACCATCAACTTGGACGGTCTACCACGTATCGATTGGAATGAGCTTATGTCGATCCCAAAACCGTACTGGGAGGAGGACATCGACGAGAGCCGACACTTCCTCGACTCCCAAGTCGGCTCCGATCTTCCACAACCGATTCGTGATGAGCTGGATAAGCTCGAGAAGCGAATTCACTCTCTTTAAATCTAATTTTCTCTATTCAATTTGTACAATATTAAATGCCTCCCTGCTTCCTAAATTGTAGAAAACCTTCGCTACATTTTAATAAATCTATTTTAGTTACTAAAAATCTACAAAACAGAACAAAAAATCGCTAATACCCATAAAAAACAAAAAATTAGCATTTAGGCCGCCCAATTCCTAGTCGTATCAATGTAGTCGCCATCAGGTGCCACGTAGTTCTTGATGGGCGGAGTCAGCGATGGACCTTGAATGGTGAGTGGCAAATCGTTGGGTGCTGGTTGAACGGCAGCGGTGTAAAGCGTCGGGGAGAGCTTCTTCAGTTCGGAAAGAGCCTTTCGTTGAGATTCGATGGCTCCACGGATCCATGCGTCGTCTTCTCGTTGGAGAGCCTGACGGGAGCGACTGTAGTCCTGGAGAATAGAACAAAATTGGTTAAAAATTGAAATAAAATTTGATTGTTCTGTAAAAATTCGGATTTTAGGCAAAAAAGTGAGTAGAAATGGTGAAAAAATGACGAAAAACGGATGAAAATGAAGGAAGTTGGACGTCGAGAACATTAGCAGACCCATTTCTCTTTCACTCTCTGCGTCTCATGGGTCTGCTAGTGTTTAGGCGAGTCACAAACACTAGCAGACCCACGAGAGACGCAGAGAAACAAGAGCGTGGGTCTGCTAATTTTTACGGAAGCCATAACACTAGCAGACCCACGAGAAGCAGAGAAAGAAAGAGAACGCGTGGGCCTGCTAGCTATTTAGCAGACCCACGAGAGACGTAGAGAAACGAGAGAGTGGGTCTGCTAGTGTTGTTGGCTTGCGAAAACATTAGCAGGCCCATGAGAGACGCAGAGAAACGAGAACGTGGGTCTGCTAATGTTTTCATAGGCCAGCTTTGTTCATTTTCATCCGGTTTTCGTCATTTTTTTCACTATTTTCACTCAAAGTTTTCACTAAAATTCAAATTTTGCAACGCTAACGATTGAATTCTCACCTTCAACGCCACCGCTCGCTCATCAACCTGCTCCAAACTGAGCTCGGTGGGTGGTCGACGGCGTTCTCTGCAAAAAAGAGCGTAAAATTTGAAATTTAGGGATTTTTCTCACTCAATATTCTTGGCCGATTTCACATCCAACGTCAGCTCATCCACTGGCTTCGGCTTTTTTGAGTGTTTTTGCATTTGGCGAATTTCTTTTTCGAGGCGCTTTCGGCGACGAGCTTCTCGTTGTTTGGCGACCTATAACTATTTTAATTAGGGTAATTAAGCTTAATTTATTACCTCCGGATCAATTTTCTTCTGTCTTTTCATGAAAACCGACGAAGCATTTGGAATTGTTTGATGGATGGAGCGAATTGGTTGGAGAGAGAGTTTTGCCAGATTCGATAAGAGACTCATTTCTGAAATTTCGTCTTTTAATTAGGGGTAATTATCGTCTTAATTAGAGATAATCAAGCTTTAAAAGCACGAAAAAAAGTTACAAACGACACTCCGCCCCTCGCGTTGTTTAGCGGAAAACTTTTTTTTCTTTTTTTCTCTGCGTCTCTCACTTTTTGCTTTTTTTGAGCTAATTTTTATATTTTTCAAGCTATGAACACAATTTTCGAGGAGGATGAAGAAGAAATAGAGTCAGGTGAGAGAAATATTGTGAAAATCGAGAGAATTAGAGAAACTTTTAAAAATTATTTTTTCACAAAATTCGAGAGAAAATTAAAATTTCTAGTGTTTTTTGACCCATTTTTCGCTTTAAAATTTAATTTTTCAGAAGCCGGACCTTCTACCTCGACCCTGGAGTCTCCTAACGACTATCAAACCGGAGTGGTTGAAAAATACATCAAGGAGCGGAAAAAGGCTCAAAAATCCTCTCAAAATTTAATTTTCAAAAAAACAAAGCCCCCGAAATGGATTTGCACAGTTCAGAATTGTAAATGGGGTGGGAGGAGCATGGAAATGATGACTAGTCATCTCAAAAAGTGTCATCCTGGAGAAACGGGTACTCAATTCGCTTTAGAAGTGTGTTTAAAACGATTTTTGGTAGGCAAATTCAAAATTTCAGACAAAATTTCACTATGACAGCAGCCGGAAAGGATCGCTGAAACATATCAAGACGAAAATCAAGGAGAAAATTGTAATAGACGAATTAGGAGAGAAAATCAAGGATCTTTGAATTTTAATTATTTATTTTAAAATGTAAATAAATGTGTTTTATCGTATTTTTACATTTTTCTTTGCTTTTTCTGCAAAAAAAACGGCAAAAAATCCCGAAATAAAAGTAAAAATTAAAGGCGCACACTTTTTCCCGTCCGTTGGGTCTCGCCGCGCTCGCGCAACGACACTCCGCTCGTCACGATGCGACGCGTTGTTTAGCTTTGTTTTTCTCTCCGTCTCTCGTTTCGTATTTGAAAAATCCTTTTTTCTCACTGAAAAAAAGAAAAAATTGACATGAAAAATGAAAAATTCGCAGAATTAAAACAAAACTCACAATGGAAGAAGAGGAAATCGATGTGGAATCCTTCGATGATGCAAATTTGGAGTCCGCGGAAACCGATTTTCCCTGCGAACACTGCAAATTCGTCGGAAAATCCGCTAGAACCCTGACAAGACACAAAAATCAGGCTCATGCGCAGATTCACGAGATTAAAGTGCGCTCGTCTCGCGGCAGAGTGTGTAGAAAATTTTAGATCAAAGGAAAATATGAGCTTTTTTCAGGGAAGACGGAAAAAAGAGGAATTCGAGGTGGAAAATCCGCCAATTCCAGCCCGTCGAGTGACCACAAAAGAGCTTCTAGGCGGTCGGAAGAGGCCCAAGACAGTCCCAATCGATGATTCAGCATTGAGTAATTTTTTGTTTAAAAATATTTGTTGGAATTTTTTTCAATTTTTTAATTAAAAAAATGTTCAGGAACCAACCAAGAGGCTTCTAGACTCCTAGAAATGGGTCTTATCACTGCTGAAACTTCAATTGGTGAATATCTACGTCGTGGTGGTGGTGGCGGGGAACACTATTTGGCAGATGATATGGATCCAGAGGAGATGATTGTGGGGGAAGAGGTGGTTATTGGGGAGCACGATGTTTTGGAAGGCGAGGAAGAGATTCCGTCGAGGGTGAGCCTTGAAAATCGCCGAACTTTGACCATAGATGTTCATTGGAATTGCGGAGCATCGTTGCGTAATTTCGGAGCATCGTTTGCCGCCTTTCAACAATTTTGAGGCTATAATTAAGCGTTTCATGCCAAATTTAAGCTATTTTTAGATTATAATTGAGCTTTTAAGGACCCAATTTCGCTATTTTTAGAAATTCCCTCAACTAAAACCCCGTCGCTACTCTGATAAGCTACCCGAACGTATAACCATTGGAGATCCTCAAGGAAAATACAAATGCTACATCAAAGGATGCGAATGGCGCGGCGGATATCGATCCCTCCGAATGGACCATATCAAAGCGCTCCATCCGGACTGGAAAATGCCATCCAGATATATACTACAGCGAATTACGAAAAACGGAGAATACAAAGAGGACGAAGAGCACATTCCACCGTTTGCGTGCGGAGTGGAAGGATGTGATTGGAGGGGGAACTTTAGGTAAGCAAATTTTTTGAAATTAGAAGATTTTTATGTGTCTAATTCGAAAAAAAAATGGTTCAGAACTGATTTAGAACGTTTTTAAACAGCAAAATGGGTCTAAATTCAAAAAAATCGATTCCAGAGCTTCCCGATCAGCTCACATGAGAAAGAATCACCCGGAGGAGCATGCGGCGAAGAAAAAACTGGCTCCTGGCTACAATTGTAATGGCGACCACCCCTGTCATATTCCATCGTGTGGTTGGAGAGGATGGTCCAGGTCCACGAGATCGGCGCATTTGAAAAAAGCACATCCCGGGTATAGGCCAGAGGATAATCGAGTTTTGGTTAGTTTAAAATGCTTAAAATTAAGGAATATCAGCTAAAACAAAGTTTATATTCAAATTCGGGATGGAGTTCAAGTTAGAATCATAATTTTCGTCCACCAAAGGTCTAACCTCGTGCAAATGAGTTGAAAGATTTACAACTAAAACACCTCTAGGATTGAAATTATCAGTTTGTTATGAACTTTGGAGATAGAATAGATTTTTCTATAGCTAAATCAAGTCTGGAATCATTATTTTCAGCCAAAAAGAGCCTAGAATGAGAAATTTCAGCAAAAATGCCGAAAAAACAAAAAATTCCGTTGCATATTTAGTCCAGAATTGTCAAAACACCGTTAGAATCAAAACTAACAGTCGAAATGACCCCAGGATCGGTTTTCTCGCCAAAATTCAAGTTAGAATAGGGTTTTCTATAGCTAAATCAGGCCTGAAATCTGTATTTTCAGCCAAAATGAGCCCAATTCCAGAAAGAAATGCCGAAAAATAGAGGTTTTCGCTTCAAAATTAGTCTATAATGATGTTTGAAAACATTAGCAGACTTATTTCTCTGCGTCTCGTTGGTCTGCTAGTGTTTACGCAAGCCAAAAACATTAGCAGACCCACGAGACGCAAAGAAAGAGAGAGCGCGTGGGCCTGCTAGCTAGTTAGCAGGCCAACGAGAGACGCAGGCGACGAGAGTGTGGGTCTGCTAATGTTTCTGAAAGCCAGAAACATTAGCAGACCACTTTTCTCTCCGTCTCGTGTGTCTGCTATTGTGTCCGCAAGCCAAAAACACTAGCAGACCCATTTTTCTGCGTCTCTCGTTAGTCGACTCAAACATTAGCAGACCCATTTCTCTGCGTCTCGTGGTGTCTGCTAATGTTTCAAGCCAGCCAGCTTCCTTCATTTACTTTCCCTTTTCATAATTTTTCCATATCTTTCAACCAATTTTTAATTCTGTTTTTCCAGATGGTCCTTTCCTGCTCCTTCTGTGATCTCTCCTTCAACACCTATCCCCTTCTCGTCGATCACATAGCCAGCCACGGTGGCGTTGGACTCCACGTCGAGCATTTTTTCAGCTCCAGACAAGATTTCGAGGTATCAAAAGCTGTTAGAAACTTCAAGAACCTCTGAATTTTGCAGGATTGGATGCGTCGAATCGAACAGCACTACTCGATTGCACTGGAGCGACACGATCCGTGTGATCCGTCGGATAGTCAACAGGAGCAGACCATTTATTATTATCATTGTAGTATAGTCGGCGTTCGAGGGACACAGTTGGCAAATAATGCGAGGTAATTTTAAATTTTTTGAGCTATTTCTTATTATTTTCAGCCTTTTTAGCACCAAAAACGTCTAACTTTCAGAACATTCACTCATAATCACCACCACTACCTCAAGCACCGCTCCAAACAACTTCTAACCCGCCAGAAAAGCGATTGCTCAGCTCATTTGGAAGTTCGCGAGAACTTTGTAGACGGCTCCCTCCATGTAAAAGGCACTCTGGAGCACACTGGCCACCGTTTTGGCACCCCATTGCTCAGAATGCTTCCCCCTGAACGTCAATTATTCTGTAACCTTGTTGATTGGAAGCACTCTGGAGGCACCGAATTCCAAGCGCTAGATGTCGTGGATCAGCTGACAAGTCACGATGGTTATGCGATGGAGAATTATGAGCCAGCGAAAGAGGTGACTCTGATGGATCCCCTAGATCAGAATCCGTTGATTTCAATGAGAATTTTGATATCACAATCGGATCCGGAGTGCTGTTTCTCTGTGAAATTCGACGAGTACAACCTTCAGAAAATGTCGTTTGGCTATCAAAACGAAGAAATGCAGAAGGCGTGGCACGATTTTGGACCCAACGGCATTGTTACCATCGACACGGATCTCATTGACTTTTGCCACGTGTCACTCACCCAGTATACGGTACTTTTGTTGGATGATAACAGCGTTCCGAGGTGTGCAATGATGTATCTAACGACGGATGCGGGTACGGGTCCAGAAACTGTGATAAATCGATTGATAGAATTGGATGGAAGAGCTCCAAAGATATTCGTCACGGATCCTTCTCAATGTTGGGTGGATTTGATTCAAAAAGCCTATGAAACCAGCAGCAGCCCTCCCAAAGTCTTTATCAGCGAGTGGAGTTTGATAGATTATTGGTCTGCTAAAGTTCAAGAATTCGTTGAAAACGATCTGGACCTTTTTTCCCTGATTGCGGCTCTCCGACGATCGCTGAGGACTGAGGAACCAGTTCAGCTTTATTCATTCTTCGTGGAGCTTCTAGAAGCGTGCTACGAGTGTGGATTCGATAATCTGGCTTCGTTCTTCGATTCCCAACTATCAGATCCAGAATATTTCAAACGATGGAGCCCCTTGAATCGTTCTGGCGACGCTAGCCATCTCTACGTAAGACTTGGTGTCGCTTCTCGGACACTGAGGGACATGTATTTGGGCCTGGAGGAAATTCCACGCGTCGATCAATGGTTCGCTTATGCCACTAAACGAATTCAAGACTTTAACTCGGTCGAATCCACTCACGCCTACTCTACAAAGCCTATTGAGCATCCAAGGAAGTTCTACTACGGTAGTGTTGATGTCGATCAGCCGGAAGAGGTGATTTACGAAGAGGAGGAAATTCTGGCCGGCGAGGTGGTGGAAGAGGAAATTATAGGCCATGAGATTCAAGAGGAGTTGACGCTTCAAGAGGGAGAGGAGCTGATTTATGAGGAGATTGAGGAGCCAGATCTTTATCAGGAGCAAGAACGAGTCCAAAAACGTCCAGAAGCTTCTGGAAATGGCCCGAAAACTCTAGAAATGATGGAGACAGAAGAGCAAGTTGTGGAAGTGGTCGATGAAAGGTTGAATAATGTGTCGAAAATCCCACCACATCGTCTAAGGATCTCAGAATTGCCGAAAATCCCAGAACCACCTCCAATTCGTCGTCGAGAAACCACGAAATCAGTGATTAGAAGTCGCCCAAAAAGGGATCGATTCGCGGATCTACGGGATTGCCCTCCAGAAGTGATGCGAGCGATCGCTGCACACGCCATAGCTTATGATGGTCGTCGAAAAGAGCAAAGCCCATTTATGTTCGTCCCAGAGGCGGCGAAAATGGCGACGAATGGAACGCCAAGCGTACCAACACCCGATATGCGTCCGTTTGGAGCGCCGGCGGCTCGTCGGATGACGCCAGCGCAGATGACGTCGATTCAGGAGCAGCGGAGGCTGAAGAGAGATCAACAGAAATGGTATCGGAGAGGAGAAGAGGGTGAAGAAGGAGACGTAGAAGAGGAGATCGTGGAGGAGGTAGTGGAAGAAGACGAGGTGCAGTACTATTTTGAACATTTTTAGGGAATCCGAGAATTTTGAGCACCTTTTGAATCCCATTTTTGCTCAAAAATAGTCAATTTCTCGCTCAAAATCCTTTAAAGAATTGGTATTTTGGGTTATTTTGACTCTAAAAATTTGAATTTTCGATGTTTTCAGCCATCCTCCCCTCCGCCAAAATATATTCCACCCCACCGCTTGCCACGTGGCACCACAACCACCGCCATCCACCAGCAGCATCATGAAGAGGTAGTTGAAGAAGAAGATTACGATCCAGATGCAGTTCCAATTTATGAAGAAGTCGTTGAATATATTCACGACGACGAAGAAGAGGGTATTTACGAGGAACACGTGGCTTATGATCATCCAGATGCGATGGTTGTCCATGAAGAAGAAGTCGTTGACGTCGACGACAGTCAGCCCTGTACATCGTCATCTATGTATCGTTAATATTTTACAGTTTGATCTCTATACCTTGAAATCTAATCATAAATGTCTTTATCCTATTTTTTTTCCTCAACTTTCTATCAATTTTTACGAGTTTTTTTCAAAAGAAAATCTCATTTTTACCTGATCCCTGACTTTTTTCTTATATTTTTTTATCCCCTTTAAGAAGATTCCAGAATGGCCGCCTCGATCCCAAGCGATTTGCGTAATCTGCGCGCCTGCCTCCTTTGCTCGCTTATCAAATCCGTCGACGCGTTTCAAACCGATGGATGTGAGAATTGTGATGAGGTGTTGCACTTGAAGGGTGACGAAGAGAAAGTTTATGATTGCACCAGGTAGAAAATAGCGAAAATTTGAGGAAAAATGGTGAAAAAATGACGAAAATCGAGTGGAAATGAGCAGAGTTAGGCGAGAAATAGGAAATTTGGGTCTGCTAATGTTTTTGGCTTGCGGAAACATTAGCAGACCCACGAGACGGAGAGGAATGGGTCTGCTAATGTTTGAGTCGACTAACGAGAGACGCAGAAAAACGGGTCTGCTAATGTTTTTGGCTTGCGGGAACAATAGCAGCCCCACGAGACGGAGAGAAAAGTGGTCTGCTAATGTTTGAATCGACCAACGAGAGACGCAGAGAAATGGGTCTGCTAATGTTTTTGGCTTGCGAAAACACTAGCAGACCCATGCTCTCGCCGCCTGCGTCTCTCGTTGGCCTGCTAAATAGCTAGCAGACCCACGCGCTCTCTTTCTCTGCGTCTAGTGGGTCTGCTAGGGTATTTGGCTTGCGGAAACATTAGCAGGCCAACGAGACGCAGAGAAAATGAGGGAAAATGGGTCTGCTAATGTTTTAGGAAGCCATTTCCATCCTTTTTTCATGATTTTTTCACTATTTTCAGCCAACTTTTCGCTTAAAATTCAAAATTTTCAGCGCCAACTACGACGGTATGATCGCGGCGATGAGCAACGACGATTCGTGGGTGTGCAAGTGGCAAAAGATGCAACGACGCGTGAAGGGCATCTACGCGATTAGTGTCTCCGGATCGCTGCCCAGCAACGTGGTCAGCGATTTGAAGAGCATGGGAGTACGGTACAAGGCGAATCAGCGCGACTACTCGATTCAGGCCAAGAAATAATGATTTGGATTTTTCTGTGATAATGATCTCCTTTCTTTCTCTCTTTTTATCATATTATATTTTATTCTGTGCCTACTAAACCTTTTTTGAAATTGTATTCTCATTTTTGCAATTGATTTTCAGATCTCAATTTTCAGCAACCATAATTCTTCTTATTTCTTCCTCGGAGTATCTTGGAGGCTCTCAGCGCTCCTATGAGCTCCTCAAACCCCCCGAGCACACACTGAACGATTCTGAGCCATCCCAACCAACACGTCTCAGATGCCAACTTTCTTGTTACAACACAATCCGAATCTCTCTGCGTCTCCTCTAATCGAGTACTCTCTCGCTTCTCTGCGTCTCTCCATTGGCTGCACTATCTCCACCAAAAATTCGGATAGCAGATCATCATCTCAACATCCCTCCGCCCACCCACGGCAACTTTTCCCATCGCTTCTTCTCTGATTTCTCTGCGTCTCTTCACTTTTTGTTTATTATCACTTTTTTCTTTTTCTCGCCCCCTCATCACTGATATTAGCAACGCTTACTGATAGCTGCCTTGCCACGTGGATTTTTGTAATCGCGTTTTTTGGGTTACTGTGTCCAAGCCCATGTTTGGAGACCTAAATATCTAGATTTGGCTTGTTGAGAGCTTCAAAATGAGTATAATCATGACCATATTTGAGAAATGTTGATTTTCAAGAGTTTAAAGGCGCATTGTGGTCTTTTGGAGGAAGTAGTTTTTCCATATTTGTCATGTCAAGAGCTTCAAAATGAGTATAATCATAACTCACTTTCTCAGAATTTGCTTTTTTCGGACCCCTATGTGCCTTTAAAGTGAATTTTCAAAGTGGGCGGAGCGTAGTCGTGTTTATACTCATTTTGAAGCTTTTTACATGGTAAAATCAAATCAAACGAAAAATTTAAATAAAAATTAGTAATTAAGAAGTTATGACCATTTTGAATTGCAAAAAATATATTGAAACCTTTTTTTTAAATCACAACTTGGCTATTTTTCATCATTTCAAATTTAGATTTATATTTCTGAAAATGCCTTGTCCAGAACTTCAAAATGAGCATAAATATGATATGATTTGAAACATTTTTGTAGTTTCTGAGTTCTATGCGCCTTTAAGAGGTCATCTGGAATTGAAATCACCGTAACTTGCTTAGTGTTGATCTGATTTCGATCAAATTTATATTTCTAGATTTAGCTATGTTTGGGCTACAAAATGAGTATAATCGGGTCCTACTTTCTTAAATTTTGATTTTTTGGACCCCCATGCGCCTTTAAAGTCTAAAAAACCAAGTTGAGCAATCCTATTCATGTTTATACTCATTTCGAAGCTCCAAACCTCGTGAATCCTAAAATTGTATTTTCACCAAGTTTAGACCGATATCAGACGAGATACTGCTATGCGACATTCTAGGCCTCCACCTTTGCATTGAAAATAGTCATAAATCAATCAGTTTTCGACCAAATTCAAAAACTTGACTAGTTTCTTGTTCAGCTTGTTAGGAGCTTTAAAATGAGCATAATCATGACCTACTTTCCCAGAGTTTCTTTTTTGACTTTTGAGCCCCCTATGCGCCTTTAAAGTCAAAAATTAAAATTGAACCTAGTTGTGTTTACGCTCATTTTGAAGCTCTCAACAAGCCAAGTTTAATGCAATAAAGAGATTATGACAAAAATCAAAAATTGAGAAGTTATGAGCAATTTCATAGAAAACCTAGTCATGTTTATACTCATTTTGAAGCTTGGAAAATGGGGTTTTTCAATTTTCAAGAAGTTTACCATGAAATTTGAAGCCCAAATTTTAAAAAACATAAAAAGTATTCCGTTCCGTTCCCCTCGAAACATAGCATATATTTCTGCGGGGTTTTGGGGGAGAAGGCAACTCTTAGTACACAAACACACACACACATACATTTACAACTAGATTTCCTTTGTTTGTCTGCCGTCTCTCATTTCTCTACACTCTCTCGTCACTGGCCGTTTGTCCTTCTGTCTCCAGAGGGGAGGCCGAATACAAATGTCCCTTTTGACCCTTTTCTCTCCTCTTGCTTCTTTTTCTTTTTATATTTTTATCATAATACATTTTCTCTGCTTGTCTAATTCTCTTCAATTTGTGTTATATATATATTTTTTTAACTTTTCGAAAATTCCAAAGTATTGATTTTTGAAGTTATAGGGTACAACAGACTCGCGAGAAGCAGTAGAAGCCTAGCAAGGATTCCGGTAAGAAGTTAATTTTAAATTTTAATTAAAAATTTGAATTAAAATTCAAAAATTCAAATTTGGCGCCAATTTTTCCAGAAATGGCTTTATCTGCGACCTACCATGCGCACAAGCCCAATGTGCCCATTATTATGGAAGATGTGTTCGGATGGGTGCGAGAAGGGAATGCTTTCCAGGTTAGTTGGATTTGGCGGAAAATGAGCTTGAAACTGAGCCAAAATACGATTATTTTAAACTATGGAATTTTTGAAAAAAAACTTTCCCAAAAAAATTTTTGGAACATTTTTAGAAATCGAGTTCTAACCTGTTTATTTTTGATTTCTCTTCTATTCGAGTTTTATTATTGAACTCAGCTAGTTTTGAGCTTCGAAATGAGTATAATCATGACTATATTCGATGAATTTTGAAATTTGACTTTAAAGGCGCATAGGGTGCCCAAAAAAAGCGAAAATCGATGTCGAAGGAAAGTAGGTCATGATTATACTTATTTTAAAGCTCTATGCAAGACGTTTTCAGATCTAGTAATCAAATTTCAAAAACGTGAAAATAACCAAGTTATGATCACAAAAAATTTTTGATGTTTTTCAGAAATCCAAAATGCTCATAACTTGGTCGTTTTTGATTTTCTCAATTT